GTTACTGTGACGATATGGGAGCGGTCGGGTCGGCTACGGAAAGAGGCTTTGCCTACTTGTTTTTGCATGCGTATTTGAAATCTGGCTTAAAATTTAATACTGGACGACATTTTATGGCGCGAACTTAAAACGCCCAAATGCAGCATAGAGCTTCGGCCGAATTTACAAGACCATGATTTCCAGGATGCTCGATCTACAAACATTAACTTGTCAGAATACATTCTGAACGTGTTTGTGCCCTTTGCTGCAACACCGCTAGAATCACTGTTGCAGGCCTCTTAATGCTAGTTTGTGGCATTCTATTTCACTGCACGGATTGATTAAAATAACATCGATTTTTATTTAAATATATAGTGTATATTTTTTCAGTACTTTAGCGATGTACTCCTCTGTTCAGTTTGACCACAGATCATGGCTTGATTGACTGCCTGTTGCATCTTGTATTTTTTTTCAATATACGTTGATATGGAAAGGTAATCTCAATATCCTGATGATTAAAATTTAATGTATGCATATTGCAGCATTTAACAATTATATGTATCAAATACTGCATTCAGGTTATTGAAAATTGAACTATTTGCCAGTAAAACGAATCCAGGTGACAAGATATATCTATCTATATAAATTTGGTATTTCATAAGTAGATAAGATTATATCATAACATAAATTATTATGAGACTATTCATACTAAAGATTTTTTAATAAACAAATCATTTGAAGAAATATTGAATGCTGTGTAAACAAAAGAATTGTTTCACATGATGACAGTGTTAGGAATCAGAGATAACAAGTGTATCAATCAGTATCTACCACATCTATTTCATTCAGTGAAAATAATATCTAATACTAGGATATCCCTATGGTCTTTTTCACTTTGCAATAATTTTTCTCTTTTTGCCATTCCTATGGTCAATTCTGTGACTAACTGATATTTTCAATATTTTAGGGGGGCCGTGTATGCATCTTGGAGAAAATATTATGCTTTGTAAAGATGTTAAGGTAAGTATATCGATTGATAATTTTTCTTGTGGTAGATACTGGAATTTAAGTGTAGACTTATTTAGGCTTGATGCCTTTCATGTAGATTAGCCACACTGCTCAGACTTCAGTGGTTGTTTTAATGGTTAATGGTTAATGGTTAAAAGCAAGATAAATGTGCTAGACATCTAAGGTCATGTAGCACTATAGTTAATGTTAGTGAAGGGTGGTTGAGTTAGTGATTAGTTGTCTAAGCTGGGCAAAGGAATTAGTGAGTGAAAGGGTTAAGGTCGGGTGTTATATTAGATAAAGGGTATGCATAAGAAAGGTTTCTTGAAGGCATACAATAGATGGGTTATAAGAGGAAAGGATATGATGGTCAGGTCTGTGGGAGCGGAAACCGCGAATATTCCAATGAAGGATAGTTATACTTTCGTTGATTTAGTGATATAGATTGTAGTACGTGTTGGAGAATTTGAAGGGGAAGCAGCTAGAGGGTGGAATAAGGACTGAGAGGTTTGAGATGGGAGAGGTGTGGGAGTTGGTGTTCTATCAGGAGGGGTAGTAGGAGATGGAGGGTCTGAGGAAGGGGATACTTGTGACATAAGGGATTCACGTGTGTATCCAGGAGGGAGTGGAAGGGATAGAGGGGATGGTGGGAGAGTTAATGTGGGCAGGGTTGGGGTCAGGGGGGATGGGCTGTGTTGGGGGGGGGTAGGAGGGTAGGGTGTAGGGGGGATATCGTTAGGAGGAGGATGGATATCAGCAATTACTTGGAGTGTGGAAGGAGCAGGAGTTGTAGGTTGAGTGTCGGTTTTCATTAAGTAATCTTGAATATTTTCAATAGTTTCTTCTGTGGAGTTGGTTGGGGAGTTTTGGGGGATAAAGGATTTCTTGTGAGGGGGGGAAGAGAGGACTGGTGTCTCAAGAGTACGGGCAAAGGATGGTGGGGGTGATTGTGTGGTAGGGGAAGAGGGGGTGGAACGTTTGTTCTGTCTGTTACGGGGAGTGCGAGGAGGGAGAGGGGAAGGTGTTGGGGTTGTAGTGGTGATTGGAGTATCTGTAGTAGAGATTGGAGTTTCTGGATTTAGGATGGCAAAAGAGTTTGACTGGGGAAGGTAGGTGGGGTTAGTGGGGGGGTTAGATGTAGGAGGGGTGGGTTTAGGAGAAGTGTTAGGATGAGCAGTATTACTGGAGTAGGGAGTAAGAGAGAATCCACGTCGACGTGCTTCCTGTCTGGCTTCACGCAGTGTGAGTCCGAGTTTGAATCTGAGAGTTGCTACCTCAGATTCAAATTTGTAGGTGGGACAGCCCCTATAAAATACATTATGGGGGCCGCCACAGTTGGCACATGTGCGTGATTGTGCAGAGCAGTTAGATCGGGTATGGCCAGGTTGGGCACATAATGGGCATCTGTCTGTGGAACGGCAGTGTTTGGCTGGGTGTCCTAGACGCCAACAATTTTGGCACTGACGTGGAGGAGGTTGGTATGGACGAACAGGGAGGGATTCTCCTCCTATGTAGACGTTAAAGGGAAGGTCATGTCTACGGAAGGTAATTTTGGCTATGTTAGTGGGTTTCTTTCGATGACCTCTGGGGGGGATGGAATAGCATTGTACTGATGTTGCATCGTAGTCTGTGAGACAGACAAGTAGATCTTCTCCACAATCTGACCATTCTTTGTCATAGATTGGGCAATTTGTTGGTGAGATTGAGACTGTTCCGGTGCAAGTATTGAGGGTTGGATGGGGTTCTGCTAGGATGGGGTTACCATATAGGTCAGTTAGTTTTGTTAATGCTATGGCTTGGTTTTCGGATGTTACTGTTACAAGACGGGAGCGGTCGGGTCGGCTACGGAAAGAGACTTTACCTACTTGTTTTTGGAGGCATTGTTGGAAGAGAAGGGTGTTGTTAGAGTAGGGAGCTGTGGGAGGGATCACGAAAAATCGGTCCCATTTGGCTGCACTGAAGAGAGTATTCAAGATTGTTTTAGAGATAGGGGTGGTAGAAGGGCGAGGGCGTGACGAAGATGGAGTAGTGTTGATGGAGGTAGTGTTATGGAGAGGTGGGCTATAAGGCTGTAAGGTATTAATAAGGGAGGATGGGGTGGTTGATGTTGGAGGTTGTGGGGGTAGAGGTGTTGAAGTTGGGCATGCTGGGAGAGTGGAAATGTCCCTTGAGGGTTGATTGTTGGCTACTGTACTAGTAGGCATTGGTGAAGGGGTAGTTATTGCAGTGTTTGGAGCCGTGATCAAAGGAGAGCCTGGGGTCGGGGAATCGGGTGGGTTTACTTCGTTGGGGCTATTTGATAAAGGGGCAAGCCTCATTGCCCCTAACAGTGGGGATATATTTTCATTACTGGCCATGGGAAGCCTGGATTATGTTGGGGATAAAAGCAGTCCACCCCTCAGGGTCCCCTTGAGGGGTAAGGGCTAGATAACTAAATCAGGGGAATACCGTGCCCATGGCTCCCTCAGGCCGTTCAGGACTGGCACAAAGTCAGCCTTTCATCCTTTCAGCACGGCTCTCACACCTTAGGAGGTGGATAGCAGAAGGGTTTGGTGAAGGGACAGAAACAAAAGTGGGAAGGGAAAAAAAAAGACCATGCATAATTAGTTGAGTCGAGGGCTGAGTCCCAAGGTTGGGGAGTTCCCCATCATTGGGTCCCAGTCTCCGCCTCCTAAGCCCCCCCACGACAACAACGGGCAAGGGATTGGGGGGGTGTGGTTGTTTTAAGCAGGGAACGGTGCAATTCTTAACCTTAAGAGCATAAAATGCTCTAAGTGTATTTCATTCAAAGTGTGACATTATTATATATCTATTTATTGTTCCTTTGTTTGAGTTTGCTTTTGTTACAATTCTCTCTGGCAGCCTATAATAGAACTTATTCTTCATATGATTGTAAATGTCATCACAGCAGTAGCAAATCTGAAAACAAGGTTTGTCCAATGTGAAAAATGTATGCTGTAAAGAACCTGAACTGCAACTAAATACTTTCCCAGTAGTAACTACACTTTACAGTTCAATTTTATAGCCTGTTTTATCATCAAATAAATATATCTGCATTCACTGTTGCTGGTCAAGTTGGCCAGGAAAGGTAAATAGGCACTTTGTCAATACAGATTCTTTAGATTTTGAGTACAAATGGCAACCCATTCCTGCATTTGATCAAACAATTTATTATATAGAATTATGGGCCGCAAAGTGAGTAACTATTTCACATTCAAGATAAAGTTCTGTAACACATCTTAATGCACAACCTAGCAGCCATATTGTTTAAGCTCATTCTTGACAATCTCTGAATGTGAATTCCTCATATCAAGGCAATGTTAACAAACAAAAATTGTAACTGGTTATATATTGCTAAGCTCTCTCTCATAACACGAGAAAGCTATATGACTGCATTTATACTTTTGTAAAAAATCATACTCATTGTAGTTTCCAATTTATTTCATTAACATTACCTGCCATACAAATACAATAAGCAGTACAATTGTGATAGTCTTCATTATATGAATGATGGAAGTCCAATGCCATACCTTAGTAAATCTACTATTTTTTTTTACAAAATATAAATATGAGGCATGGAATTTCAATGTATAGTAAACTTCCATCTCTAATCTTAAAGTCCCTGTGCTGAAGAATGATCCTCAATACCGACCATTATTTCACCAACTTGGAAAATTAGTATGAATGTATTAGAAAACTTAACTGGGATATTTTGGGAAAGGAATAGATGTCTTCAAACTGGACAATATTTGAAATATAACCTTTTATTTATGGTGTTTTCTACAACTCTCCAAGATGTGGACCATAAAAAAATGTCTGATGGGGCATAAAGGAAAGAATTTTCTTTCAAGTAGTTTTACTGGCAGAGATAACAATCACAAGTTCACATGATGAAATATGCAAGTTATTTCACATATAACAAAGAAAAAACTATGTACCTTTTAGCCATATATTGTGATATTAAAAAAAAAAAAGAAAAAAAGACAGCAAGTTTAAAGGTGATGAAAACAAGC